AATTAAAGAATAATCACTACTAATTCCCTTTGTACCTTTCAAATTATAAAGTGAAAGCTTGTTTCTGTCTCCATTCATTCCTCAAAAGATTTACAAAGAAACTGAATTACATAGAATATAATGCCTTAGAAAATATGCTAGTCTACCCACAATTTTTCATTAATTGCCCTAATTTGCATATGTCATCTAAACAAATGGTCTCTGTGAAAATTTAAACATATATAAGATTTTTAAAATACTTAACAAACGCAATTTGTCCAATTTTTATTTCATTTTCCCCCCTTTGGAAATACTGTGGTTTTTGAACTCAAGAGTCTCATATTTGCTCCCATGGCTAGCACTCTACTACTTGAGGCATGTCTCCAGTTCAGTTTTTTGCTGGTTACTTTGGAGATAAAGTCTCCTGGACTTTTCTGTCTGGGTTGGTTTCCAACCACGATCCTCTGAATCCTAGCTTCCTGAGCAGCTGGGATTACAAGTGTAAGCCACAGGTAGACAAGGAAAAAAATTTCATTTGCACTAGGAAAATTAATATTTCTGTTTACTTGTGCTTGATGATAGTAAAACAAGCATTCTATAACCAAAATGAACAGACCAGCAGTCCAGTGCTGGATAATTCCCCAGGCCCAGAGCACACAGAAATGAAGAATATATTCAGTGCCCACAGGGAGCTCCAAAAATACCTAGTATTTTTGAAGAGGAAAATGAAGGCTTTGTAATAGCCCACAAGTATTATGAGTATTTAGATATGCTATAAAAAAAGAGCAAATCACATTATTCTGATATAATTTATACCCAGTCCTAAAAATCTCACAGATATTCTAGAATCTTAACCATTAGGGATTAATATGATTTTGGTATCAAATCTGGATTTACATTTTGGTTCCATCACTTACTTGCTATGAAATCATGAACAAGTTACTTAACACTCCCAAGTTTCAGTTTCATTTGTGGTAAATGGTAGATAAAATGAAATTTTATTGGGTTCGTGTGAGGATTAAACAAATTAATATATCTGAAGTCCAGAGCACAATATTTGGTTCATGGCTGAATTCTGAGAAAATCATACGTCCTCTCGTTGCCAAAAAAAAATTATTTCATCCTTTCATGCCTCCATGGAACTGTATCCATTTACTTAAAGATGTTAAATTTCACAAACAGGGAATATAATTCTTTCTTTCACCTCATTATCTCTATATACATTGCTAAACATGTGCCAGATTATCAGGGTATCCCTTAACATTTTTTCATCTTGTCAACTATCAAATATCCCTTTCTCATGCTAGTGCCACTGAGTTCATTTTGAAAATAGTAATTTTCTAAAGAATGTTTTTGGCTAGCTTAATGAATAAAGAAAGATGAGACAAGGTCTAGGTGGAAGCAGAGAAGAGATGGGAGCAAGAATTTGCTGATGGGAGAAATGACAGAGCTACTAAGTGGCTCTGCATTTCCAGTCCCAGGGAGATCCGACCTTCCTCGATGAATAAAAAGCAGAGCTGGAGAAAGCCCAGGAGCTCAATGTTCCAGCTTTCCAAGTTGTTGGCAGGAACAGGTGATAGAGTAAGAAGATAGGGATGATTCTGCATAGATTACCTACTATCTTTAAAGCATCCTTATAGTTTTTAGATTTTATTATTATTTTATAATATTTATTCATGTATTTAATTTTATTTGCTAAATTTAAATAAAATCTAGATTAACTTTTGTTTCCTCTAATAAATTTTGATTGAAATAAACATGTTGGAGTGTAACTGTTCAATGCTCATAACAGGATCATCAACTAGGTCAAACTATATAGTGTCTGTAAGGGTAATACTGAAGACATTGTCAAAGACTTTTCCAGTGTCCAAAGACATAGCACCCAAACCCTGAATTTGCTTGGATATAGAAACTGAGCATCCTTTTAGGTAGTTTAAATGAATACACATACACACACTGAGCAAGGGGGAGAGGAAAAAATATGTCAATGAAACCCAAGTTATTTTATTACTAAGTTATATTCTATTTAGAAATATTCTATTTAGGACTGTGAAGGTGGCTCAGTGGTAGAGCACTTGCCTTGCATGCCTGAGGCAATGGGTTCGGTTCCTCAGCACCATATAAAAAGAAAAAAGCCGGAAGTGGCACTGTGGCTGAAGTGGTAGAGTGCTAGCCTTGAGCTGAAGAGCTGAGGGACAGCAACCAGACCCAGAGTTCAGGCACCATGACCGGACCAAAAAAATAAAAATAAAAATAAAGAAATATTCTATTCAGTCTACATAAAAGGATTAAGGAAGTCCAACCTTCCAAAGTAAGAAAGAGCACTGTAAGAATTCAGGCAATAATAAGACATGAGAGTAGAAATATATGTAAGGACCAGAGCATATACTGCCTTTAAATCAGTGTTGGGCAATAGCCCAAAAGCAACTGGCAGTTACTGGAATGCTAGAGGCATTGTGTAGAGAGGATAGGGAACCCAGACAGGAAGCAGGAGCTCATTAGGAAGGCTCATGAGTGAGGGACTATAGAGACTTGCACTAGGAAATATACTAAAGCAAGTCTTCCCTCAAAAACTCCACATTTGTTACTATCATACTACTGAGTAACAATGTGAGGGTTACATTAATATTACTTGATTAACTTTTGGTGAAAATGGAGATCTTACATCATAGAATGATGTCTACTTGTAGGAACTTAAAACACATGGGATTTAAAACCTGCTGAGACATAAAACAAATGTAAAAATTTAAAGCACTATCTACTCAATTTAAAAATGGTTTTTCTTAAGATCTCTGTGAAACAGTCATCCATATATAATCATATAATAAAATCATAATATATTGATTTCTACAGTTGTCATAGATAAATTCACAAATTATGTGAAAATCTATGGTATAATTTAAAATATGACATCTGATAAATCATCATTACTTCTTCCTTGAAATGTAATAATTAAACATAAATTAAATTCCATAGACTCATTTTTTAAAACCACTATACTTATGATTTTTCAATATACAATTGTATAAATAAGTTGTTTTGGTAGTTTTGTAGAAAGTTTAATAAATAGCTCACTAGATGTACAATAAAGCAAGCACTTAAGAGCTCTTAAATGTTCTAAGAATCCTAAAATATGAGTGAAAGAATTTTATCAACTTGCAGAAATGTGATGGTATGTGCTGTGCTATCTTAATTTGGAATCTTTTTGATCTATAGGGTATATGAATTGTACTTTAATATCAGCCACAAGAACATCTTATGCAATAAACATGTTAGATTGCAAAAAACCTATGCTCAGAAGCTCAGAATTTTCTTGGAATCCAAAATTCAGGCTGCTTTCCAGAACAAAGGTTCAGGATGCCCACCAGTGATCGGAGGGAAAAAAATTCATATACTTACCTCTACACACTGCCATACTGATTAACTACATATAAAAGCAATTTGTTTGCATTTTGTACATCATGACTTTCCCCTTCCAAAGTATGTAACCCATAATGAGCCACATAGCAGAAAATGTGAAGAAAGCAACAACAGTGAGCTAAGTGAAACTTTGAGGTAGGATTTCACTGGAGCAGCAATACTGGGGCAGTAGCACCAAGAAAGGGGTGGGCAAAATAAATAGAAATGTCAGAGAGGAAATTTTCATATCCATTTCACAGTACTAGCAAATCACTTGAATATATGTAACTTTCTAAGCTCTCTAATGGCACAAATCATGTAATTGTGCTATCCTACCATTTGAAAACAATAGCATGTAGTAGAAAACCATCTAGTACCTTAGTCTTTGACAATAACCATAGAAACTACTGTAGTGAAGGGAGGGAGAAAGGTCAATAATTGTTTAAAGAGAATTGTTTGTACTCTCTCACTGTGTAATTACAATATCCTGCATTATTAACTGCAGTATCTTTTAAAACTATGAAAGAAAAGAACAGAAAAGGAAAGGAAGGAAGGAAGGAAGGAAGGAAGGAAGGAAGGAAGGAAGGAAGGAAGGAAGGAAGGAAGGAAGGAAGGAAGGAAGAAGAAAAAAAGGAAGGAAGGAAAGAAAGAAAGAACAGATGTAAGCAACAGATGTCAGAGAGAATGTCTGAATCATTTTAGACCCCTGGACTGTGTCTCATCCATGATAAGCAGCAGTTAACATGCATGGAATAGTCTTCTCTATTAGCATTCTTGACTCTAATCCTTCTTTGAGGGTTTCTTATTTTCCTGCTTTAGCCCTCATTTCTTCCCATAGCATGGACTCCTGTCTCTGTGGTTTAACTGATAATTTAGACAACATGAAATAGTATTATTTTGTATTTATTGGAATGAAATTTTAGACTTGCTATTTTAATTGGAAAAGTAAATGCTAGGCACTATCTTCTCTCTAAAATACTTTACAAATTAAATTATGGATTTGTATCCGTCAACAGGAAAAAAAGTTCTACAACCCTAAGTTAAAGACGTATTACGATGTGTTATATTAAAATAAATTTTAAAGTTTACTTGTGCTATATTTTATTTTTTTGCTATCAAAGCTAAAACCCAAAAATTTACATCATTTTCTTTTTAAGGTAATTATAAGACTATTCTGGTTTCCATTTTAAAGATATATTACTATGTGTTATATTAAAATAAAATTTTTTGGTCGATTGTGGAGCTTGAACTCTGGGCCTGGTTGCTCTTCAGCTCAAGGCTAGCACTCTTCCACTTGAGCCTCAGCACCCACTTCCAGTTTTCTGGTGGTTTATTGAAGATAAGAGTCTCATGGGTTTTCCTGCCCGGGTTGGCTTTGAACCACGATCCTCAGATCTCAGGCTCCTGAGTAGCTAGGATTACAGGCATGAGCCATTGGCACCCAGCTTAAAATAAATATATAATATATATTATATATATAATATAATATTAATATATTCTTTTTTCCTTTTTGGGGGCTATCAAAGTTAAACCCACAAAATTTCCATCATTTGCTTATTCTGGTTTCCATATAAGTATACTTTCAAAATAAGGAACTCATATTCAAGGAAAAGGTCACATACTTTTCATAGTTCCATCTTCTTCTTCCTCATCCTCACTGTTTATAACCATGGTCCCCAAATCAGATTCTAACATTGTGCTGTTGTGTTCAATCATGGTCTGGGCCCCTTCACTCATTGTGCTTGTAGCCCGCATTGTGCCCACACTTTCTGAGCTAGTCTTCACCATGGTGTGGGAATCCAGCTCATCTTCATCCTGGAAACAAAACACCACAGTGAAGAAACACTGCTTTGGGACAATTGGATTTCTTAACTCTTAACAAGAATATGTTAATATTGTTAATAATGATAATCATACTATAATTATTATTTTTCATATAAGCATACACACAAATGTTATCATAAAGGGCAAAATTAGCAAAACAACCTAAGGCTTTAGGTAATTAAAACTCAAGCAACAGAAAGTGATAAAAACAGAAACTGCTAGTAGACTTTGAAATAAGGACTGAGTTCAATAAATTATCCACAAATACATTAACAGAACACAGTGATGAAATAAACATACAACAGGGCACTTTAAAGATTGAATATGTTTGTACTTGAACTTTTTCTTGGTGGTACTGGGGTTTGAACTCAGGGCCCCTTTTCTGCACTTGTTACTTCCTACCCAGGCATGCACATAGGCCAAGAGCCACCTATTTTAGGTTTTCTGTAGTAGTTGGAGTGATAGGAACATACAATCCCACCAAGCTATGGGTTCATAAGGGGTCTCCTAAACTTTTCTGCCCAGACTGGCCTCAAACCATGGATCATCCCAATCTCAGCCTTTCAAGTAGCTAGGGTAACAGTAAACCACCAGGACCCATCTATCACTTCTTTTTCTAATAGGCGGAATAACACTTCTAACCTCTATAATAGCTACTAGCATTTTTCTTCAATTGTGGTAAAATATATATAACACAACTTACTACTTTTGCAAATTTTTCAGTGGATGGTTCTATGGCACTAAGAATCATCAGTGTTGTGTAACCATGACCACTAAACTGGAAACTCACTAGCTCCCCGCAAATAAAACTTCAATGTCTTCTTCTGCTCATGCGCTCATTCACTCCCTATATACAATCAGTCAACAAGCTCATCAGAAACAATTTCTTTTCAGTTTCATGTCTTCTTTTCTATTCTCACTGCTACTGGGTTTATTCTTTGTTGTCTTATACCTTTCATAACTACAACTAATACCTTCTGGGTCTCATATTGAATAATGTAGAAACAGAGGTTAATTCAGCTCCTGCCTCAGTCACTGGACCTTTAGGCAAACATCTAAGTCCTCAGGTTTCTCCCTACTGTTAAGATGATAAGGAAAAAAGTATACAAAATTTCTGCAGTTACCAGGAACAAGGAGTTTTCACACCTTCCTCAAAGGTAGTATACTCACAGCACCATACTTTGTGTGTGTGGGGGGGTTTGGGGGGGTAAACCAGGATTTGAGCTCAGGACCTCTTACTCGCTACACTGGCATTCTATCCTTTGAGACACACCTCTAGGCCTTTAAGCTTCCACAAGGTTTAACAAAGTCTAGCATTTTACCATGGCTAGGTTGAGATGGTGATCCTCCTTTTTATGCCTCCTAGACAGATGGGATGACAGGTACAAGCCACTGTGAATGGTGCTTACTGGCAACATGGGGTCTTGCTAACTTTCTGACCAGGCTGGCCTTGAATGGCAATTCTCTCTATCTACGCCTCCTAAGTAGCTGGGAATATAGATGTAAGCCATCATATCTGGCCTCTTTCTTGAATATTTATTTGCATCAGGATGTTTTTGTTTGGCTACACTGAGGTTGTAACTCAAGGCCTTATACTTGCTTGCTTGGCTGATATTCCAACCTTTGACCTGATGTTCCAACCTCCAGACCAGCTTTTTGCTGGTTATTTTGGAGATGAAGTCTCACAGACTTTTCTGCCTTGGATGGCTTTGAACTATGATCATATGGATCTCAGCCTAGTGAGTAACTAGAAGTACAGACACCTTGGCTCTTTTTTTTTTTCTTCTAAGATATTTTATGTGTGTGGGAGGGTCGTGGGGCATGAACTCTGGGCTTGGGCACTGTCCCTCAACTCTTCAGCTCAAGGCTAGTGCTCTACCACTTGAGCTACAGTGCCACTTCTGGTTTTCTGGTGGTTTATTGGAGATAAGAATTTCACGGAGTTTCCTGCCCCGCTGGCTTTGAACTGCAATCCTCAGATCTCAGTCTCTTGAGTAGCTAGGATTATAGGCATGAGCCACCAGCTCCCAGCTCTCTAAGGTATTCTTATATTAAAGGTAACTCACAACTGTAATCTTATCTACTCAGGAGGCTGAGATCTGAGCATTGCAGTTCAAAGCTAGCCCAATCAGGACTCTTATCTCCAGAAAATAGGAAGTGATAGAGTACTAGCCTTGAGCACAAAGAGGCTCAGGGATAGCACCCAGGCCCTGAGTTCAATCCCTACAACTGACAAAAAAAAAAGGAAAGAATCTATAATGTATCCTAGTTCTTGTCTACATTAAAAAGTTGAACCTGGCACTAAGAAACTCAGGAGGATCAGGGAAACTCAGGAGATCCAGGGATCATGGCTCAAACCAACCCAAGCAGAAAAGTCTAAGAGACTACAGTATTTCCAAAATAACAAGTAAAATGTTAGGCTGGAGGTTCAAATGGTAGAATAACAGCCATGAGCAAGCAAGCTCAGCAGCCACAGTGTATACACACACACACACACACACACACACACACACACAGCTACATCTTTCTACTAGGATTTTAATGTCTTCTATGTTCTACCCACCAATCCTATTTTCCCATTGCTCACATATCCATCAGTTCTTTAACTGAACCTTCCTCCATAATACTACAGTGTGCTAGTATGCTCATGAAGACTTTGTACATGTCTTCTCTACCCAGAATGCTTTTTCTCCCCTACCTACTTAAAATTTTCCCAGTCAAATATAGTTTACCTCAGTGGCTAATTCAGTTTTTGTTAACTATTTAACAAACTACTTAACTATTAACAAACTGTTTAACAATATGCATTACATTGTACATTTCAATGTCTGCTCTCATATTCTAAGCACTTACTTTATAAAAATCTTTTATAAAGGTAAATACCTTATAGACACACGTCTTTCTTATAGAACTTTTGAATCCATTGAAGTATTTCATTCTAGCATTCAATATAAATTTACTTTTTCAAAGAATAAAAAAAAATCAAGGCCCTTCATGGTAGAAAAGAAACCAAATTAATTCATTTACTGCTTAAAGCTGGAAAGCTGAGAGACACAAAATGTGAGAAACTTCCCTATTTAAAACAGTTGGAGTTAAACTTTTTTTTTCTTTTTTGGGCAGTGATGAGGATTGAACTCATTGGCCACAGTCTCGCTAGGCAAGTGAGGTAGCACCCCAGCTCTTTTGCTTTTTAGTTTGTTTTTCAGACAGAATCTTGCATTTCTGCCTGGGTAACCTGGCCTGAGATTTTCCTTCCTCCATATCCTATGTAACTGGGATCACAGGTGTGCACCACACACCCTTCTTGTTGTTGAGATAATCGTGTTATTATCTTTTTACCTAGGCTAGTCTTGAACTTTGTTCCTCTTATATATGGGATTATAAGTATACACCACCACACCTGACCACAATTATTTCACTCCTTAGCCCATTATTCTACCACATACATGAATCTTCTTAACATTTAAATGTTTATCTGCTTGAATGCTTAAGTTAGACGTACAGGCTTAACATTTTAATTGCTTATTTCACCAATTCCTATTTCCAGAGTGCCCATATGAATTACTTAGTCCAAGCCCTACCCTCTTACTTGAACTATAAGAAAAGCCTCTTGTTTTTCACTATTTCCATTCTTGCCTCTTTCAGTTCTACACACCACATACATATCAACCTTTTCTAAAGACAAATCATGTCACATTACTTTCTTGCTGCAAATTCTGCAGTTGGCCTCTCATCACATGTAGAATAAATCCAAACTATCATAGCCAAATGTGATCTAGCCTAGTAACATATGCCAATCTCATCTCCTATCACATTCCTTCCTGTTCATCAAACTCCAGCCATGTTGGCCTCTTTTGCTATTATTTGAGTAATTTTAACCATGTTCCTCTTGTAGTCTTTAAATTGGCTGATCTTCCAGACTGGAATGCTCTTCTATAAGACATTTATTTAACTTTGATTTTGCCACCTCAGGGAGACTTCTGATCACCAATTTGATTGGAAGCTTCCATCATTCACAATTCTTTTGTCTTTCTGTATTTTTTTCCAGCCTGGATGTAGCCTTCTGTACCACTAGAATAGAAGTTTGATGAAGGCAAGAGATTCTTTCTAACTGCCAAATTCTCACTGCCAAAATATTTGGTACATGGTAGTACTTAATAAGTGTTTATTCAATAAAATCAATTTATATTATCACTTACTAATTTATTCACTAAGCATTTATTACACATCTGTAATATGTCAAATAGTGGAACAGGCATTGAAGATAGAAAGATGATTAAGACAGTTTTATTCCATCTGGTTTTTAAAGGAATGAGTTCTAGAGAATTTCCTGGCAATGGAATAATAAATTACAAGACAACCTCTTAAGAAGTATAAGAAAAGTGTTGACAGTATAATGGTAATTTAAGAGTAGAGCCTCTAATTTTGCCTATCACAAGTAGAGAAAGCCTCACAGAAAAGGCTATCTTTGAGTTAAATCTTTATTTCCCTTAAACTTTAAAAAAATTGATTAATACATAATAACTAACACATAACTGCTCATATGTATATTGTGATATTTTAATACCTGTATATAATATGTTCTGATAAAATAAGGGTAGTTAGCATTTACATCTTCTTTTCATTACTTTATGTTTGGAATCTTCTAGTTTCTCTATTGAGTTTAAATCTTAAAGGATAAATAGGCCATATTAAAACACATAAGCATAAATTTGGTCAGGGTGTTTTATAAACTTTTTACAACAGAGGCAAATGTTTTCACAGTTCAGATACTCTGAAACTTAAGTATGTGTAACTTCATTTCCCTAACACATTTTTCTTATGCAGATCATATTTACTACACGATGTTGTAATCGTAATGCCTTATCTAAATCCTTTATTTGACTCTCAAATCTCTAACAGCAAAAAAGAGATTTTGTTAACAGTTCTTTTCCTGATAAACAGTACAGAGCACTGTTCTTCCTATGTTATTTGCTGACAAATACTTCATT